ATCGCCTAGCGAACCCGCTTCCCACGAAGGGTCGGGGTTGGTCGTGCGGCAGCTATTGCTGGCGTTGGGTTTTACTGGAGCGACACACGACACGGGAATGCGGGCTGGAAGCAGGAGGCTGAATGACGCTGTTTTCTTCCTAGCGTTAGGTGAGGTTTGGGGCGCTCACTGGAGCGTGGCCCTGGCCGTCTCGGGTGGAGGGGACCAGTGGGGCCGTGCTCCTGAACGCTCTCCGTGTTGCAGCTTGTCAGGGAGAACCTTACTGAATTTTTGGATGGAACTGTTTTCCTGCAGCGGAAATGTAAGCACTGTCTTTGGTGTTTTATGTTGAGGGTCAATGTAATGGGAAAATGTGCGTGCTGTGTCTAGTGTCCTGATGCTATTATTTTAAATAATATAGTAAATATTTTGTATGAATATATAAAAATATAGATATAAATAACTCACTTTTCCTGCCTTGGGCTCAGCATCTTGGTGGCAACCGGTGGAGGTGCTGGTAGCATCTAAAAGGCTTGGAACTGCTCGCTAGTGCTTGCATCAAGCTAGCAAAGGTACAGCCACCGCCTTATTCCTCAGAGTGCCTCTGACCCGCCTTTGGGTTGCGCAGGGCTGCACATTCCCTCTGCTGCCCAGCGTAGCCAGCATAGTACTTTGGGTTTGCCATTATAGTATCTTTTTGAATAGTTTCTACTCTGTGCCCTAACAATCTGTCAAACTGTTGCTTGCCAATAGGGCATAAGATACTTTTGAAGCCATAGCTGCTCATGTCACAAGCCTTGGTAGTTCTTATTGGTATAGAAAATGGAATTGTTACCTTTCTGAGACACTACTATTTTATTTTAAGAAATTATGCATTATGCGTGTCTGAAGTGTAAGGTTGTCATCCTTATTTCTGTGACCTGCTATTCTGCCTGACCACATTCTCATGGCTTAATTGCTGCTTTAGCTTTCCACGCTTGTTTTTACCTGTATGTAACTGTGTGCATGTCATAGCCCAGGATAAAGTGGCAGTCATGGCCCCGATGGTAGAGGGGCTCATTTCTTTGCCAGATGAGACGTGCTTGTTACCACTTGTCACTTCTACCCCTTCAGCCTGAACTATGGAGCGTAAACAGTGAAAAAATGGATATGTAACATAAATAGAAAACATATTTTTCAAGCAGCAGGTCCAAGCCACATTTACTGCAGTTGACTTGGAAGTGACTTCCTGGTCAGCAGATTTGCAGTGACCTTCATTCTGATGCCATAATCTCATTTTTCATGCATAACTTGATGGTTTTTCTTAGTCAGATTTTTTTGTGTTTAGTCATTCTGCCAAGTGATTTTGATGTAGACAATAGGCATATTTAGCGATGAAGCCGCAGGGTCTGTGACCTTCCCGTGCGGCTCCGGTCCAATGTTTTCTCACTGATGCACTGCAGAATGCATGCCAGCTGTATCTGCCAGGGGTTTGTGGTGACCCCATTGGGTTTCGCAGCACAAACCTGTGCTTTAAAACAGCCCACGTGTTTATAGTGTTCAGTTTTGCATTTTGAGTTTTCATGTTGTTTCTTTTTTAGAAATGTATTGAACATTTTCTCGGCGTTTGCGGGCTCTATTCTGTATTGCTCATACAGACAGAATAAATTCTACAGCTGTAGCACAGCAATAACAGACAAATAATGGTGTGAATGTAATTGCATTGACTTTGCGTGTTTCGGATATCTTCTTAGATCTGCAGATAATCTTCTTAGATTAGCATTAGGATTGAGTACTATTTTGGAGTCAAATAGAAATGAGTTTATAACTGCATACAGCAATCTCGCTGCTGAGCAAAATCCTGACAAAGCTGAGAACTTCTCCTCCGCTTCATTGGCATCAGAGAGCGTGTGTCGTAGGGTGGAATTTCAGCTGGCAACGTGGTTTCAGCTGTTTTGGAGGAAGAGGTTCTTTCCTGTTCCGGGAGCTACATGGGTCTAGAGACTGCCTCCAGGTAGAAGGCGGAGTTTTAGTCCAAAGCAGGCTATGTCTAGACCAGGAGGGCACCTCCAAGGTGAAAGGAAAGCCTTCAGAGAAATCCCAGGCTGATGTGGGTCAGGCTTAGCGTTGGCTTGTCTGGCGTACGCTGTGCAGCTTACAAAGCATTAGGTGTTACTCGTTCAAACGTGTGCTCTGCTGATGGGGAAGGGACAAGCAGGTGCTGTAAGACCTCTGAAAGACAAGCTGTGTGGTTTTGCCCCCAACATAAAGGTTAAAATTTTCATGTCCTATATGTGCTTGACTGTACACTCAAATATCATACACTGGAGTGCAATGTGTTTCAGATCCACGCCCTTCAGAAAGAAGGTGAGGGGACTAAGTGGTGGTGAGGGATTCGAGGTAAATCATCCTGTTGGAGGCTGAGAAATTCTCAAAAGGGTGATTATTTGATCTTATCCCGTTTTGCTCTTGGATTAGATGTATGTATTAGCATTTAAAGAATTTGTATGCAAAACATCCCTACGCACCTTGCATCAGCCAGTCAGCCCTGCGTTTCCAGTGCAGTGGGGTTGAATTTACTTTTCTTTACAAGACGGCTGTACAGATTTCAAGCTGGTGGATAACTCCATAGCTAACACACTTTGAATTCTGGTGCCGCGTTTCCTTGGGAATGCTGAGGAAAGATGGGTGGATGGCTTTGTATGGATGAACGAGATGCGAGTCCTTTGATTGCAGGCAGCACCCTGTGTTTCCCTCGCTGCCCGGGGGCTCGTTGGTCATCGGGGCAGAGCGCTGTAGGGAGGCGTTGCAGCGTTACAGTGAGATGGCCTCGGAGGTGCTCGTGAAGAGTCAAAAGCAGACAGCAGCGTATGGGCGTTGAGAAAACACTTCGGCCAAGCAGTTCGGTTCAGTACTTCACCGTGCATGGTTTGTCCTTGTTTGTGTGGGCGTTGAGAAAACACTTCGGCCAAGCGGTTCGGTTCAGTGCTTCACCGTGCATGGTTTGTCCTTGTTTGTTTTAGTCACCTATTCATGGCTGAGCTGTTCAGTGGACGAATACAATCGATGTGCGGAGAGGAGCCAGTGCTCCTGCGAAAGATGTTGACAGTAAAATGGTGCTTGGAGGAGCTGCTGTTTTGGTTTTTTTTGTGGAAGCAATTTGTAAGGTCAAAAATCGAGGTCGGTCATTAGGGATCTGTCATAAGGACCGTTTTCAGGCAAACAGGATTTCTGGGTGCCCAGTATGCCCTGCCCTGCTCCATCCCAGCCATGGCTGAGTTCCAGTCGAGCCACGTTAATGGAGATTTTTTTTTTGTGAATTATGGAAAAGAAAATGAAATCGAGAGGTGCTGTGATACGCCTTATGCTATTTGTGTGTCTCATATGTTTGGTTTGTATTAAGATAGCCATGAAGCGCTCTGCAATTACAGAAAGCAATTGGCAGGTTCCCTTGAGTGCGTAGACACGTCGGCAATGTATTCCTCTAGGTAGCTGAAAGCTCTGCAGGTAGTAGGGTGAAAGTTGCCTCTACTGCTTTGTTGGGATTTTTCTGGTGTGTTTTGGGGGTTGTGGGTTTTTTCCTAGTTAAATTGATACCCGTTGGTGGGATATTTTTCAGTGAACGCTACGCTATAGCAGATGATGGGCTTTATTACCCACTGATGAGTGTCACAAAGGTGGAAACCAGTGGTATCCTATAGCAAACTGGAGTGCTCGAAAAGGTAGAGATTAGTCCTGTTGCTTTCCATGGTGAATTACCAAAGATTTCTTCAAACTCCTCCTCATCTGAGAACATGATAGGCTCCTGTAGCTTTAGAGTCTCTTAGGGTACGGAGGGCTCATGCTAAAAATGCCTTTTGGTACTACTTTGTGTTCTTTCACTTCTAATTCAGGTATCGGAGCTCTCTTAAACACTCTTGGCACGCCGTGGTGTGTGTTTTGCTTGTTTTGAGCAAGCCTGGGCTTTGGTAGGCTAGATACTCCTTACCATTTTGACCCACTTTTCTAATATACATGACTTGAACCCTCATCTCGTGATTTGCTTAAGCAAATAATTCTTTTTAGTGGATCCCAGCCAGCCACATGTATGGCTTATTTTGTTTTGTTCCCCCAAGAATGGGTCGAGCTCTCTGCCTAGGCAAAACTGGGAAGCGGAGTCTTTGTATGACTATTCCGTCTTTTTTTTTTCTTTTCCAAATTTCTGAATCACATATTTTACTCTTGAGTTTTAAGACAAAGAGGGAGTGGTTGACCTGAAATAAATAAATACAAGTTGAAAGTTGATTTGAGGCTTGAATGGCAACAGAATGTTAATAAAAAGATAAAAGTATAATCTGCTGCTGGAATATTCAGCAATTCTCAGAGATGTGCCAGCTCTCATTGAAATTCACCCATAAAATTTATTCAAGACTAAATTCACTGCAGTACTTGCAGACACTTTCTGAAAGACATATTTTCTTTTTTTTTGTTCCAAGGCAATATCAAGTGAGCCATAAGTCCACTCCCCAGGACTTCAGGCCTCCTTTTCTGGCACTGCAGAAGCTGTTATTTACTGTTCTTTCAGGGTGAAACTTTAAAAGGATTTGAGTGGAGTGAGATGTCTGAATCCCATTCAGTTATGTGCTTAATCGGATTCTGGGTTTTTTTAGATAAAGGAAATCATGTTTCCTTTTTATTCTGCTTATTGGTTCACTGGAAATACTTGGGTCCTTAAGTAATAGGGTCTAACTGCAGAATCTGTTCCCAAATTAATTTTGTCAGATTTTCATCCGTATGCATCTTGTTTTAGTAGGTAGAGATGTTAAGTGTTTTTAAAACAGAATAGATTTTTTTGCGATTTAAGCTGAACATCACAAATAAAAAGGATAACTTCTTGTATTGCTGCTCTTCTATAGCTGAACGTACAAGTGCAGAGCATTCACAGGGAGTCTCCTGCT